GAAAATAATGGAGGACAATCACGAAGTGATCAAGCCAATAATCAACGGAAACATAAAGCTATAAGTCAGTCAGTCAGTCAGTCAGATGCAACGTAGAACTTCGTACGTAAGTACATCAGTTCATGTTGCCATACCACATCAGCACAGAGAAGTAATCGTCAATTCAAATCCAATAGTAGAAGAGGTAGTAAGGGAATTAGAAGTAATCGGAGAGGTTAGGATTAGAAGATACTATTCAAGAGGTATGATTCTGTGAGAAAAGTTTAGAGAGTCGAAACTAGAGGGGTTGAAGAATCCAGAAGATTAGGATTTGAGAGAACACAAAGAATAAATGCACCGGCGCCATTGCGAACGATTTTGAGCCATGTCATTCAAGGTCTCTAACCATCGGTAAGTATCATCTCGCGGACCCCAACCAGGTAGTCGACAATTACCGACATGGCTCAGTCCACTAGTCAATGACTTCATGGATTTCTGCCATGTTTTGGTCTGGCCGCCCCTAGCTTTCTTCCAACCTATTCCTACACTACAAAACAAGGCTCGACGAGGCAGTCGGTGGTTAGGCATACGCAACACATGTCCTAACCACCTCAACTGGTGAAGTTTCAAAAAGCTATAAGTCACATACAAAATAATTCAATATTTAATATAAATAGCTTGTCTGCAGAAATTTATTACCAGGTGTATAAACTACAGCCTGAAAATTTTTCTCTTGTAAATATAATATTTGCTCAACCATTCGTTTGGCTTCTCGCTCATAATTATGAATCTTATCAATACACTGAGAATTGAAATATTTCATGTCCTCAATCTCATTTTCCAATCTTCTGAATTCTCCTTTTAAACCTACTTGCATAATTAGGATAACATAATAGAACCTCGAAGTTTTTCTTCATAATCTTGACGAAGAATCATCATATGATGATTAATCTCATTGTTTTCACGTATTAATTTCCCATTTTCTGCTTTGTATGGAGCAATATAATCTTCAACTGTAGATCGTATTTGAATCTGAGAAGAAAGTTCGCTCCTAACTTTTCTTAAATTCTCCGTTGTCCAAACAAGGTCATAAAATAAACGTTCCACTAAGGGTAAAGTGTCCAATCCTAATGGTTGTTTATATCCTAGTTGATCAAGTCTCCTTCTTAACTTTGTAAATTTTTCCTGTGCTGTTACATAGGTGCCAGTCATTGTCTATTTAATAGAGAATAAAAATATTAGGTCAAAAAGAACCCAATAAACATTCTACATGAAGTCACAACATGCTAACTTTAAACAAATGAAGTTTAGACGAGTGATACTATAAGACTGATTAGAAGTGTAATGAATAATAGAGTTTTGATCAATTAAATCACTCATGAAGTCTGTTGTAACTTAGATGATATGGAAATTAAATAAAATGAAGGTCTAAATTGTAATTTTATTAGGCTATTAGCCCCAACATAACAATACATGCATACGAAATTCGCAAGATAAATGTCAGAGTAATAAAATTAGCAACAATATCAACAATAACAATATAATAGGCAAAAACGACTTGACCCAACAGAAATGAATCCACAGAAACAAGGGATCTAAGAGAAAACAATGATTGAATGCGTCTGCATCATTGCAATCGATTCAAAGTAACAGCGCCCGACGTCTCCAACGATTGTTTACGGTGGTTGAACGAATCCCGAGTAGATAGTCTGTACCTACCGCCATAGCTCAGTATGATTACCAGTGAAATCCACTAGGCTGGTGTTCTTCTAATATAGTCCTATACTAGCATATTTTGGGAGACAGTGTATGCGATGTTTCAGCATACATACCAGCCACCGCAACCAAACTAATTTCCCAGCCTAATCAGCTGATTTTCCATACTTAGCATGGTTGAGCAACTAACTGATGATATAAAAGACTGTCTTAAGCACCCATCTACATGAGGAGTGCAATTAAAGTATACATATCAAACGCAATATCTGTGAAAAGCGGTAGTGACCATGACCCAGACATACGTAATGTAGTCACAAGTGAGGTGTGAGAATTTTAATTAAATCAAGTACACCAGAGAAAAAAAATGATGATACGAAGTCTTTAAAAATGCCCGTAATCACAATAATGGTAATATCTAAAAGAGAATGATCAGGAAGCAATCCTCCTTAATATTCTTCCGGTCAAAACTAGGTCTAGGTAAAGTACATCCTGATTTCATGAGGCATAAACTCCTGTTATGAGCTAAGAATACGAGCCGGTATAGATGGAAAGCATACCTAAAGAATTTGACGACAACTCTCACGACAACACGGAATAGACGTAACGCACACGTTCAATGCGTAGATGATATTTCTAGGTCCAATATCTAATACGTTTTTCATGAGCAAATTGGAACTAGTGAATCTCTTTGCGCTCAATTCTTGTTCTTTCTTTTCGGTTTCAAGAGCATGGTAGAGTCCAATGAATGAGGGTCTAGCCACTTGACTGTCTAATTCTAGTCAGTCTTACTTTGTTGATGTGTTTGTATGTCTCGTGTTGAGAACGAAAACGTTAATTTAAGGGCAGTAAGGTTTCTGGATACCAGCATCCATCACATTACCAAACTGGAGATCAGTTAGTTGCAATGTGGGGAATAATAAGGAGAAAATTCTAATGCTAATAAGAAGAAGGTTTCAGAACTGAGCAAATAAGTGGATAATTTAGTTTATTGACTGATAGTGAAGAGCGTGCAGAAGGACCGAACTGTGAGCAAGAGAGAGGGAACAGAGATAATATGAGGGATAGATTAAGTAAGCGTTTTGAGGATATGGCTGGATTAGTTTTGGACCGTTTTTCACTGCCGATTCCCCAATCGACGTAAGCTCTATTCGCTGTTCAGTCGAATCTCCTTTGATTCTAATCAACTGCGCGATCTTTTCGCTGTTTGCGTAGACCGATGAGTCTGTGACAACTTTGTCCAAAAGATCGTTAATGAATATAAGGAAGAGGAGTGGACTTGAGTTGGTCCCCTGTGAAACTCCCGATGCAGATACTCGCCAACTTGCGTGCTCTTTATTTACCTTGGTGCGAAACTTACTATTCTTAAGGTAATTTTCAAATCAAGATAGAAATTGGTCTTGGAAGTCCATTTCCGTTACCTTCGTGATTAAAAGTGCTTGGGGTAATGTTTCACAGGCTTTTCAAAGTCTAGAAATATCATATGCACCTGTATTTTTCTGTCCAGGCAGGATATCCAACTGTCCCATGCTATGAGAAGTTTGGACGCGCAAGAGCTGCCTTTCCGAAATCATCGTTGAATTTCATGAAATATTTTATTCTTATCCATGTACTCGGTCATCTGCTCGTTCACCAGCCCTTCCATTACCTTCGATAGTTTCTGTAATGCTTCTCTGTAACTGTTCGAAATCTTACTAACTGACATAATTCAGATATTCCAGTACGACCCCGAATACTGTTCTCAAATCTCCAATATATCAGAGCGCAACACCGTTAGATGTATTTGTTTATTGGGTTGAGTACAGAAGAGATGAAGCAAGGAAAGAATGGAATAATAAGCTTTATAGATAATGTTTATTTATACAGTTGGGTCGAATAGGAAACAACATTGAAGTCTGTGACATTGAGAGTTAGGACGATCATAATATTGACCAGTAGGAATTTACCAATAGAATTAGACTTCCGAAAACGATTCTCTTGCGATATTAGATGAATATCATAACAATAGTATTGGTAGTAATACGACCGGTCTGTCACTTCAGCTGCAAGGGCATTTCAAGTCGCGACATCTCTCAGTTAGAAAAAGTGTGCAAGAACCTGAGTAAATGCTCTTTGTCGTACAGTTTTCGAGGGTTACCTAGAAGAGCGTGGTGTGACGTTTTGTCGAAATGTTTATGTTGGCGTACTTAATCTGGTGTAGGAAATACCATTTCAATTCTGATTTTCATGTAACTCAAAGGTTATCATCTCAGGTTTTCGAATCTGCCTACGTAGGTTTCGTCCATTAATCCATTTGACTGCCCGTCTCAAAAGAAATAGGATAAATTATTTGTCAGTAGCCTAAAGTTTTCCTGGCATAAAGTAAGGAATTATGTAAGCCATTACAGCATTCCCTATTCATCGTGAGGTTGTGATAAGGCTCTCTCCAGTAGAAAAATCCAGATCGCACTTTGAGAAGACACACGGGTGCAGGGATATCGTAAGTTGTTGATGTAGCGTGACGCACAATACACATGGCGCGACATTCCGACTGGTTAAGCTTGATTTAATTGTCCACTGTCAGTTCCAGATTCACTGTCAAGCCCTTTTGAAGTTCATTAAAACCCTATTCGCTTCTTATAGGCCTCCACATCTTTACATTGTCTGCGTAATTGAGTGCCGCTGAGCTAATTTTATCTGACAAGTCATTCATGAATATCAAGAAAAAGCCTGAACCTACAATTCTTCCCTGTGAAACTCCTTATGTTTAGACTCGCCAGCTAGCATGCATTCTGATTAGCTTGGTGCGGCGATCTCACTTCTTAAGGTAATTTTAGAGCAAAGATAGAAATGTATCAGTGAGCGTCATCTTCGTACCCTTTTCAATTAGGAGTAAATGAACTAATTTGTCGAGGTCTTCGTGTGGAGTCAAAGAAAATTATATGAACCGGTGTATTTTGGTCTCAGCAGACTGTCAAGCTGTCTCATTCTATGGAAATACTTGATACTCATAACTTGTTGTTACTAGAATCATGTTGAGCTTCATGGGGGATTCTACTTTCATCTATGAAATTCTGCATTCGCTCGTTCAAAAGTCCTTCCATTACATTCGATATTATTGGTAGTAATACTTCTGATCTGTAACAGGCTGCATCTCTCCTATCTCATCCTGTAGCTTGTTTCCATTCAACAAGAAGTTTGTGTGACTTCATTTATTGCCTGAGCAGGTAAATTATCGGTGCTTTAGTACACTGTTTCAAGTGCGCAGATTTTAATTTTCTTAGTAATAAGACAAGAGTAAGCAGAAATATTCCTGCACCATCAGCTAGTACTATGTTTTAGTAGTAGTGTGAACGTGCAGGTACTTGGTAAAACTGTTCCGTAAAGTCGGAGATTTCAGCTATTTGTGACTTGGTAAAATCTTCAATATTCGGACCTTTGATGGAACAAACACGATGGTTTATCTAAGGTCCAATGTGCAGAACAGCATTCTGAATGATATCTCTCGCTGTTAGCCAGTGACCATTTACTGTTAGCTACCACCATTCTCGTAGCCATAGTGCGTTTTGAAGATGCTCTCTCATGTTCTAATAATTTGTGGTAGTGTTTCTTGAGTAACCATGTTAAACATAACTGTGCTATGGTCACTACTTCCTATTGATGTATGGACGTGAACATCCTCGACTAGTCGCCGATGATTTGCTAATAAATAATCCAAGTTTAGAGATTTTCTCTCCTTAGTTTATCCAGTGGCGCTGAGTATTTAACCAAACCCAAAGAGATGTCGTCTCAGTATTAAATCAGTTCTTGAGGGGGTGATTTTTTCATACCAATTAAGAACGAGCGGCTGTTACAGCTTTAAAATGGCTGGTAATATCTATCACTAATCCGACTGCTGTCTGGTGTATTCTGTCGTGTGTAAATCCCTGTTCACTAACTTCGTCGTCTGCAATAACCATTCATAATTATGATCTACAGATGCATCTGTGAGCATGTAATCCTGATCACTTACAGCTTGCAAATTAGTCCTCCAACACTACTACGGAGGCACTAGATAAAATATCCCATCACTTGATGAAACTCTTCAGCGACAAGCACTGCTGGATTTTCAAATAAACTGTTCAAACAGAGTTGGCCAGTAGTGTGGGAACTGGTCTCTGCAGGTGTTTTGTTTGTGTGGCGTATTGAGGCGGCGAGACAATGATCTTCGTATCTTGTCCCATAGGTTATCGGTGGTAGTCGAATGACTCTAGCGTTTGCTTATTTTTGGCACCCCTGTTATTGTCTCACTGATCTACGACAGCTCTAACAACACTTAATATAACCAAATATATCATTCTTCGTGACTTAACAAGCTTGAAGCGCCTCAGTGAACCCCAAAACTACTTTGTTCTTTCGGGTGCCTTTTGATGTTCTGGGAGCTGCTCGTACTGACCACCATTTGTCATGCCGGACTCGGATCATGCAGGACATTTTAACCAAAGGTATCTGAGCAGGTAGAAGGATTTCTTTGGCAACTCATGCCGCGTCGAAGGTTACTCTCATCAGTGAGCTTTTCCCTTAGCTTCGTTCTGACCCTTAAGGAGACGGCAAATTTTCGCCGATGTACTATTTATTACAAGTATTGCGCGGCACATATTCCACTGATGTTTTATCAAAGACAGCACCAATTTCCAGTGGGATGCCTTCCGACACTAAAATGTTGGATAAAATTTGCGAGTTTTCTCTATTATCTCTGTCTCTGATTAGTAGCATTTTTGAAACTGTAATTTCACCTATCTTTTCTGGTTTGATTCATGTGTTCCTCCGACACTACGGAATCGCCAACAAATATATCCTTTACCCTGGATTTATTTATCTTCTCTGTGACGGGTTTGTATTAGGTGGTGATCATAGTCAATCTTGACTCAGTCCCCACTAAAACCAGTAATGCACATTCGACTATCTCTCTCTTTATATATATATATATATATATATATATATATATATATATGTATATATATATATATTTATATAGTTTCAGTTCGAATTGAAATCAAGGAACTGAACACACATTTAAAAATTCCATTGTACAACTTATTGTAGATGAAATATGAAGTTAATCGACGGCTTTTCTATTACCAATCAATCGCATATACATCCGGACCACTGTGTCGGCATGCATTGGTGTTAATGTCAAATGGTGGTCTAATAATGACTCATTCATGATTTCTGTGTGCAAAAACAACGATCTGCATCAGACTGAAATTCAAAATTTGTAGAGTAATTAAACGGTCAGTTGAACAGGTACCTCTTCCCAACTTCCTGCGGATGACTCAGAGATTATCAGTCCGAATCTAGCTTCGATATGCGCCTATTTTTTTATTTCAGTTGTTTCTACGAAATAATTTTTCCTGTTGGCAGTGGGGGGTTCTATTAACATATTTTGAACTCACAAATATCCATAATATTTTATTTAGTGACTGTGTTATCGTTTCATCATTATGTCGTCTCCTATCCATAAGCCGAATCACATCATAATTCACTCACTCTAGAAAACTTTAGTTTTAGATGTATAAGTATGTCTTCTACGTTATAGAAATTCAAGATTGCATTTAATCACCGATGGGGAATTACGAACCTATGAAAATGATATTACTCCCGCTAATTACGTCACTGGTCATCTGACTTGACTATCTTACTACTGGATAAGGCGTTTACGTTTGAGTCATTAGAAACCTCATTCAAATTTCAATGTAATTATCAACACCGTATAGGAACGCAGGTGCATACGACCGAAAAATCCTAAGTAGGAGGAAACACGCGTCTTAGATTTCATTGGTAGCCTCAATACGAAAAAATGTAGGTGTATCAGTCCAATAACATTTTTATCTCTTAGCTGATCAGTTAGTCTTAAGGTTATAATTAAGAACTGCGTTCACCTTCTCGTGGTATACTTTTAAGAAGAAAACACAATTGCCGAAATATAAACATTTATTATTGTACTTAATTCTGACAATAATTTATATATTTCACACCTCTTGTTTATCTGTACTAAAGACTGTCTCTCGCGGGCCAAGGGTGTTATTCCCATTCGGTTCTTTCGCGCATCTCCTGTCTGGATGTTAGCCGCTTGTACGCCCTCTGGCCTCAATATTATTTCGATATCACGAGGCTAGCATTAAATATACTGCTTTATTTAGAATCGTCTCTTATCTGATTCTTAGAGTAACGGGATTAACATTTGTTATCCCGCGAAGTAGCATTATATTTCGATTCGCTATAACCTTGTGAAAACTTTCAAACTACAACTACGCTAAGGTTTCATTGGCCAATAGAGAGTGTGACTACATTTTCAGTTGATTGTAAGACAGAATTAGTCTGATTTATTATCTTGTGATGACTGAGAACGTATAATTGTTCTTATCGACATTTCATTTACTCTCAGTGGATTATTTTCATTTAGTTAGTTAAACTAGTATTACTAACATGAGGAAAATCCACTGTAGCGATTCAATTGTAAGACACGTTCATGAAGTGTTTTTAACTGTATTCACACTCCACACTCATGGTTGATGATATGGTTTCGTAAGCATACTACCTCAAATATTATAGATTTATCAAGTTTTGCTGACTAAAGAAAAGTGATGATGACCTTGAGTGTAATACTTTTCCTACAAATATCTTACTGACCACTTTTCTCTTTTCTGTAGAAATATAATGTTTTATCTTGTTTATTTAATTAGCTTGTTATTTAAATACTTCTCTAAAGTATAAATATCATCTTCACTTTGATGAATACAAAAATTAGGAATTATTTCATGTGTTTTACCAAATCTGAAGCAATGGATTCCTAAAATTCTCTTCTGCTTCGCCTTGAAAGAATTAATCATTTCCATTAGTTAACACTACGTAGTGCCTGACCGTAGCTGCTACCCTGACGTGGCGGTCGGGCTTGCCTATCGTGATGACCCAACCGAGCTATATGGACTCAAACCTATGTTTCTGAATAGTCTACCATGCCAGGCAGGTCGACTGGAGAACGATGAGACTAAAAGCAGCAACTCAACTTCTGAGTGAGAAGTCGTACTAGTGACTGCAGAGAGGTGTGACAACAATAAGGTGTTTCCCTCGGACAACCAACCATTACCAAGGATTTCGCTGGTTGGAAACGTAATCTGAAGGTCAATCGATCAGTCTATGAATAAAATCCATAATTAAGACATTTGTCAAGCGAGTTCTGGGGATCTATCCTCCCTAACAAATTGTCTTTCTATTATTTCATGATGGTTGCGTGAAAAACGTCTGATTCGATCTGGTATATATATACATATATATATGCCAACAAACTCTGATTACATCTTACGAGTTATATGTTCCATCAGTAAAGGTTTACATATGATAACTAGGTAAAATGAAATCTTAGGGGATGCTCTATTGTTTATCTCCTTTTTCTCAAGACATTGTGAAGATAATTTATAGCCCAAATAGATGATTTCGATAGAGTTTTATTCTTTAAGCAATCCAATCAACACTTTTTTTATTTTGGTTAACTCATAGAAAACTGTATCTTATTACAAAGTAGTCAAGAAGTGTATTTCGAATATGGGCGGTGAAAAACAATTCAGCAAACATACAAAAACAATCAACTATCTTTGTTTCTGACAAAGTGATGTAATTTACCAATTACAATACTTTCACTTCCATTGTGGTACGCGCTACTTATAAGTAGTATATGACGCGAATAAAAACGTAATGTCTGGCAGCAGAAGATGGGGGAAGATCAAGAAAGGAAGAGCGGGAACACAATGGAATTTGTATGAAACGCATGAATAGTGACAATGGATTGATGTTTTGCAACAGGAACAGTCCAGTTCGATATGATGGATTGATATTTTGCAAATTAACGATTTACGATATGGTTTTCCTATTTTACTGAGTAACTCTGTAATTTTCGTTAGATACAATTCGGTTGCCCCACCTGCGTTCTCGTTCATTACACCATAAGTAAAACTACCTCATCTGGGCGATAAGCACAAAACCATGGTAAAATTGCAATTTTCGATAGTTATTCAAAATTGGAAAGCTCAAAAACTTGTACCATGAAAAAAAGTGAATGTATTATTTAATACAGATAGTTTTTATTTAAAATACAATCATTGTGATGATGACTATTTATTTGTTGTGTTTGAAACTGAATTGAATTGAATTATGTTATGTTTCACGTAGGTGGCCAAGTTTGCTCAATTCTTCCCTAAAAACAAAAAGACTTATGTGAATCATCTCAAAATTAAAGTAAAGTCGTAAGCAATATCATTTAATGTCCACAATTAATATGGAATCTTTAAAGGTTAAAGTGTCAGAGAGTGAAAACCTATCCCCTTTAGATAAGAGATAAGAGAGAAATAATCCTGCTTTTTAAATCTAATTGCTAAAAAGGTATTCAGAATAGAAATTATTTGACTGGGTCAGTTTACTGAAGTTTTAATCACGAGTAACAAGAACTAACCAACGCAAGGAATAGTTCAGATTTCGACCTGTGTAAATTGCCAGCTCATGTATATTAATACCGTAACTGATGGTTTGTCAAGGATTGTACTGAAACTGAAATTCCCATTGGAAGGGCATCTAACACGATTCAATCAGTACTAGTGTGGTGCGCGCTACTTATAAGTAGTATATGACGCAAGTGTAAACGTAATGTCTGGCAGCAGAAGATGGGGGAAGACCAAGAGAAAGGAAGAGTGGAAACACAATGGAATTTGTATGAAACGCATGAATAGTGAAATGTCAGACAATGGATTGAAGATTAGCAAATTAACCGTTTACGTTATGGTTTTCCTATTTTACTGAGTAACTCTGTAATTTTCGTTAAATACAATTCGGTTGCCCTCACCTGTGTTCTCCTTCACTACACTAGTAATATCAAGAATAGTAAGAGATGATACAACTACTAACTGTACCTCATCACCGGGTCATTCGCTGTTTCCAGAAAGTTTGACAAAGAATCAGTGAAAAGGTATTTAAATATTTTCAACGGCTTAACGCATTAGCATACTTTTTTTTTTTCCTTACAAGCATTAATTTGAATGAAAAATTCAGGGGTTTTATTCCCATTGTCAAAAGAGGAAAGTGATACAGTGAATAAACTAAAACAAAATCACACTTTCTCCTCTATTTCCATATCAAATCAAGCAGAAGTAAACTTTTATCTGAAAAAGGACAATTCTTCGTTTTTAAGTCCCCTGTCTGCTTATAAATACTCATGAACTATGAGCAATGAAGCTTCCTGCGAGGTGCAGGAGTCGTGGATGCGCACTGCCACTGATGAGTCCCATACCAGAACGAAACGGCCATCTTTCAGTACTTCCAGGTTTCTAATGGTGGTCTAACAATGATTGATTGATGATTTCAAATGTGTAAAAAACACAAACCTCCAAAAACTCTGTCTGAGAATAAAATAAACTTTAAAAATAATGAAATGCACATCAACTTAGTTACATCGAGAATTCACCTTAAATATTCAGTGAATTGATCGTCTACTTCAACTTCACAATCCCATTTATCGTCCCAAACATGTAGATCGGAAATCTCTTCTTCTGATGTTGTCCAAGCTAATTGAAACAAAATACAATTAAATTGTACAACGTCATACAGTATTGATCCAATGAATATAAACATACATATCAATATAATTATGGCTACGTTAAATTCATCTTCATGTTTTCGGCTCTTATTTTCTTTCATTCCGTTTCCTTTTGGTGTATTACTCCTACACCATTTACTACAACTTAGTTAATCTAACTAATTAAAGAATTTTGAGCATCTAGTATGATGATAAAATTGTTATGCTCGTCAACTGATATGCTTGAAACAATTACGAATTCACCTTCGTCGGTAAACGAGAACGAAGACAAATGATCTAGTGACATGATAGGCTACTCTAATCCGAGGGTCCTAAGGCCCCACTAAGTAGAGGAAGAAGTCTTGACAAGACGTAGAAAGTGTAATCTACAATCAAGCAGAAAATTCGAGGTTGACAAACACACAAATCGAGTTTATTTATACATCATAAAAACGTCCTTGGGAGAGCCACAAAAACAGTGTACTAAAATAATACGTCAACCAATAACAGTCAAGGATTGGTGTTCCTTTTATTTGTTCGTAGACTCTGTTGTTGAACTGAAGATACGTTGTTAAGCATAGGTCGATGAGTTCAAGCAAACTTTGACTCCGAAGCTTTGTCAAAGTTTGCTTGAACTCATCGACCTATGCTTAACAACGTATCTTCAGTTCAACAACAGAGTCTACGAACAAATAAAAGGAACACCAATGGGATCACCAATATCAGGACTCATCGCCGAAGCGGTAATGCAGAGACTGGAAGCGTCGATTCTGCCAGTGATCAAGCCAAAATTGTGGGTTCGCTATGTAGACGACACATTCGTTATTATCAAAAGGAATGAGCTGGAGAAAATCTACAATCAGATAAACAACGTCTTTGAGGACATCAAATTCACGATGGAAAAGGAATCAAACAACAGCCTACCATTCCTGGATGAACTAATCACCAGAAATAACTCAGGAAAACTGGAAACTCAAGTATTTCGGAAGCCAACCCACACACACACGTAATTCTCAACTACGACAGCAACAACCCAAGAACCCACAAGATTAACTGCATACAAACACTGTTAAAGAGAGCGAAGACACACTGCAGCACATACGAAACATTAAAAAACGAGGAACAACACCTGATGACTATCTTCCAAAAGAACGTCTATCCACGCAACTTCATCAAAAAACATCAACAGAAGCGAAATCAAGCACAGGAACCGATAAACGGATCATCCTACCATACATAAAAGACATATCGGAGCATACAGCATGACTACTGAAACCATTTGGAATAGGTGTAGCACACAAACCAACAGAATCACTTCAATCAATCCTATGTAGACCAAAGGACAAAATGACAAAGGAAGAAAAACCAAATATCATCTACAAAATAAATTGCTCAGACTGTGAAAAACACTACATAGGACAAAGTGGACGACCTCTTCAGCTTCGTTTACGTGAACACCAATTAGCAGTCAAACGCCATGACAACGCTTCGCTTATATCAATTCACACCGACAACTATGGACACACATTCGTTTGGAACAATGTGGAAATACTGGATAGGGGGAGGACAAAGTACACTACAGAACTTTTAGAAGCTTGGCACTCAGGTCAATCAGCAATCAACAAACACATCGACATTGACCCAATTTATCAACCAATCAGGAGAATCATAGGTGACACTGGATCAAGAAACAGATCAAAAGAGGGAGGCAATCAAAACATAGTTGCAAACAACGACAGGTTTAAGGTCAACAACAACCAATCAAGATCGAAGTTAACAGAACAAGCTACAGGTCAAACGTGGAGAAATTCGAATGCTTCACTTCTATCTGAAGTTCGTGCTGATGATGTTGTTCAGTAGAAGAACAATGAAAGATCCACAACCAAAACAACCAGCTCAGAGAACGAAACACCACCACAATCATCCACCTGAGCTGCAAGTTTTCTCCACCATCTCAAAATGGTATCTATGCATGTTGTTCATGTAATTCCAAGTTTCGAATCAAATGACCGGCAAATGATTTCCAAGATATTTTTAAATATTAATATCAGTTGGGGCCAATGAGTTAACACAGCTATATAAGTGTTATCTAAAATGAAAGCCGTAACCAGTAGAATCCTACCTTGTCGGGTGTAGGCAGTTACCTACCGAAGACAATTAATGAGGTTACGCAAAATCCTCAGATTAATCGAAGTTAGACAATGACATCATGGGATGCCGGCTCAGTGGTTCACAGGTTAAGCATCCTAGCGCAAGACCGAAGGTCTTGGGCTCGACACCTGTGAGTAACGAGAGTCGTGGATGCGCACTGCTGATGAGCCCTTACTAAGACGAAACAGCCGTCCAGTAATTACACGTTTCTAATGATGATCTAACGATGATTGACTCACGATTTCAATGTAAAATGAAATAACCCGTGTGCCAATATGCTACAGTGATAAATATTTAGGCTAATGATTCTTCAGTAAAACTATTAGGTTTGTTAGGATAATCACCAACTATCCTACGAAGAATCACTTTGTAAGTGTAAATTCTATAGGTCGATTCCTATTGGTCAATATTATGCTCGTCCTAGCTATCAATGTCACGCACTTCAATGTTGCTTCTTATTGGTTGTCCTGACAATCAATGTCACTTCAACTGTTTTTTCAATTGGTCGCCTTAACTGTCAATGTCACAGACTTCGAACGCATCACCTGTAACGTTTTATGACCTGGACCCGGATCCTGATCCTCAGTCCAGGATCTTATCCTTGTTCTGAACTCGGAGCTCGTACTTTCTGCATGTTTGTAGGATATAAGTTCTACTTCATATCAGGTCTTCTTCTTTCATTCAATAGGGGTTGGGACACTCGGATTAGAGTAGCATGTCGTGTCGCCGGCCGGATCCTCGAACCTCGCTCTCGTTTTCCGACTACGGTAAACGCGTAATAGTTCAAGCATATCAAATTGACATGTTTACGTGCATGCGTAACAAGGTTGTATATACAACATATCTATTTTCAACAATGAGATAAAAATAAAGTAAGCTCAATAAATGTATTTACATGAACTCAAGGAAAAAAAATCAATATATTAGTGTAAATGAATATAATTGAATAAATAGGACATACTTTCTTTTTCAAATTCTTCAAATTCCTTGTCATCTTTTAAAATGCCTAAAGCTTCTTCAACTTGTTCAGGATCTTGAGATTGTTCGCTCGACTAAATTGAAACAATATTTAGGAAAAAAAAGGAAAATATATCTCAAAACAAGTAAAACTACTCATATAGTACAATTCTCTATGAGATTTCACTTTAAAAAATAATATTTCAACGTGACAGTGTTATTCGTTCAATAAAAGACTACTTATAGTAAAAATAATCTGCAATGTGTTAATATTAATTGAACAGTGTTAATAATGTTGCTTTTAAAAAATCCCATAACAAACTTTCCAACTTTATTATAAAACAATGCATTCATAGAACATTATGACTTACCTATTGAAAACAAAGTGTTAATTTTAACTTTCAGTAAAGATAACACTCAATAAAGATGACAATGCATTTAGTTGACAAATCGAAAACAGAACAAAACATACATTTTGAATACGCAGTAGATAGTCACAATGAGACAAAATCTACGAAA